ACTCCTTCGTTTTGACAGATCTCATTAAAACTTGAGTCGCTCGTTGGAAGTTTCTGCACGCGCTCACCGTCGAGATCCAGGCCAGATGAATTAACGTCAAGGTTCATTAGTGAGCCGTTGGTTAGACGCCAATTAAAAATTCAAGACAAAATGTCTCCAGGATTTTCAAATAATCAACACAAGGTATTCATCTTCATCATCTAATTTTCATCCTTGAAGGATAACCTGTAAGTTTTAAGATTCAAACACTTCCTGAGATAATGTTTCCCTTGCATTTTACATTCACCTATTATTCTTCGCTTGAAACAAACAATAATTATCCAGCTCACATTGTTGGGGACTCGTTTATAATTATTAATAAATAAATAAATTAATGTCCCGGACGCGGCGGGAACAGAAATTAATTGGGTGGAAAAACCACCCAAGAGGAAAAACCTCGAAAGGAAAGGCCAACGAACTTTTACCCCCTCCACAAAAATGAAATCTGGCGCCAAGACGTCTTCGACTCGACTTTGTCGAGCCAATCAGACGCCTTGGCACCAACCCCCGTCCTTGATCCACATCCTGGATCAAGGAAAAATCTAGAACAAATCAAAATATTAATAAATACCCGATTTACACAGTAGACTACCACCAGTTGTCAAGAGTCGTTGCTTGAAGCACCTTCACGCAAAAGAGTTTTGCTGAGAGGAAAATCTGTTGTCTAAATTTTGAACTTGTCTTGTGTTTTTTGGGACTTGTAGAAATTTGAAAATATATTAAAACTTTTCTTTTGGAATCTGACCGGAGATTCCCTGCCTTGTCCCGGGCGGATTCCGCATTTTTATTCCTCTCTAAAACCCTCACCTAAATCTTTATTTCTCCTCATTTTAATTTGTGTTGAGATCTTTTTAGAATCCTCAACAGATGTTGACCTATGTCGTATTAAAAAATTACTTTCTTCCCTGAAGTATTATGTTGAAAGAATCCCTTTTCTTCAGTTTACAGAAAAATATAGGCCATTTAAAACTCATTTTCCACGCATTTTAATTCGTGTTTAAATGAATGTTCATCTCTGTGTATCTTGTTTGATTTTGCACATGATCGAGATTTGCAGTGAACAGCAAATAGTTCGGGATAATCATTTTCCTGATACTTAATTTTAGTGATTGATCCTTTAAAAGTTAGTTTAGTTTCATTTAAGAAATGGAAACCTGAGAATAGTCCCCATTTTGCCATTTTACTTAGCATAATGGATTGATCGAAAAAATGGAAACAAATCAAATCAAATCAATGGAAAGATAGTGAAAAAACAAAATTCTTGAGCGATTACCGGATGTCAGAACACATTTTCTAATCCTAAAACTCTTCAAGGATGTTCAACCTACTTTCCACAAATTTCAATGAAGTTTTCACGCAATAAATCCAACGATCCAGTGCCAAAAATCGAGTTTTGTTAGTTCATTAGCCAGCCGAGGATTTCTGATGGCTGTTCCCGACTCTGGAAAACGACCTGAAAGCTATTGATTTTGAGGACAGAGACAGTCTCATTTCTGCTGTCAAAGAGGAGCTTAATCAACTAATGGAACTCAATTTTTAGCACTGCTTGATTGTTGGGTGAAAAATGCATATAAATCTGCGGAGGGTACGTTGAACATCACTGAAGAGTTTTCAGCGCATAAAATATGTCCTGACATCCGGTAATTGCTCAAGAATGTTGTTGTTGTTGATATCTTTCCATTGCTTCGGATTTCTGTTGAAATTCTTTCGATTAATTCATTCTGCAAAGCAAAATACCAAAACCGGGACTATTTTCAGGTTTCCATTTATTCAATCATACTACCTAAATTTCTAAACAACAGTCAGGAAAATAATCGACCCAAATGTCTCAAAAGTTTACAGCAAATCCCGATCATCTCAAATGTTAAACAACATGCACAACAATGAAAATTCATTTAAAAAGGATTACACCGTGTGGAAATGAGTATTACATAACTCCTCTATTATTTTGTAAATTTAGGAAAGTGGGTCTTTTTCTCAACGTCATACTCAGGGCAGCAACTATTTTTTTGTCATACGACATAGGTTAACACCCATTGAAATCGACAGAGAGAAAATCAAACAGCACTGAAGTGTTGCCAAATGATGGGACTATGCCAGTAACAAATTTTTTAGAATTTTAGAAACTCCCTTGAATCTATTTCAAGAAGTCTCAAACCGTATGAACCAACCCGAATGGTATTTACAAATCAAATCGTACACCTGTTGGGGCATCCATGCATCAGGGCCCCACTGTAATGCTCCCTGTCTGATAAATGCGAGTACTGCACTGTAAGAAGGGCAACGATTTCCAGGAGTACTCATCTACAACTGTAATTCACCGTAAATCTAGAATTTCAAAAATCAGAAAAAATGGGGCTCCCAGTCTTCTTGAGAGAAAACTCTAGCCCAAACAACCGGTATTAGGTTGACCACAGAATGAACGGATGCCTGGAACGTACGTTTTCCTGTCCCGGAATAAACCCGAAAGTGCCGTGTTTATCCAGTCCCAGAGCAGCTCGAGGGTTCCACATCCGTGGCGGCGGTTGTGACAACAAACCGCTGAGTAGTTTGCATAGAATGCCACGAGACCTGAGAAAGCCAGTACAGTATATAAAGAAGAATAAAGCAGCAGGGAGTAAGGAAAGAAGCATAAACTTCTGTTAAGACTATAAAAAATTAAACTTTATATATTATACTGTAATGCAAAAAGAAAAGAAAAAAATTGCCAGGCCTACTTTTTCTTCCCCACCGAAACTGCTGCTCTGAAATCTTGGCATCGGTGCCGAGATTGCCGCCGGAAACGTGTCTCGAGCTCTCGGGTAGAATAATGCCTGGCATTAAAATGGCATATTGGGACGAGAGACAAGCATCTCGAAGGATTTATAGCTTTCCCAAGCACAGGCTCCTGCTGGGGATGTGAAAGAAGTTCTTGTTCCTGCCGTACCATTCGTATTCCACTTCCCGGGCCTTTAGAGAACACTTTTACAAATAATAAGAAGCGCACTTCGAATCCCGTCATTAAAAAAACGGTGCGTAATTTGCATGCGAATGTCAGCTCAGCTTAGTTTTCTGTCAGCTGAGAAAAATGCCCAATTTTTTATAGTCCATCACCGACTGACATCATTTGACTTACTCACTTATTCTGGCTGAGGTTCAGGGAATCTCTCGGAAAACTAGACAACATAATTTTTACATTTTCAATACCATATGCAGTCAAACCCGAATTTAGTGTCATCCTTTGTCCTGGCACATTTTGTAGCACTAAGCAAGGGTGGCATTAAATCTAAAGATATTGATGGTACCTTTCAAGTTGACCATCCCAAAATTCTACAGTTGAATTTGCTGGGAGCTAGACTTGCAATTTTACCCAGGCCATGCAATTCAACCCACAGAGATGGGCAGAAACATTGGATATAATTTAGAAAATATTGCATTTGATGTTGCTTTGCAATTTGACCCTATTCCAGCAACAGATCAGGGTCAAATTTCAGGGCACCACCTGTATTACTGCTTGAGAGAGAGGTCCAGTTCAGGGCTTCCATTATAAGAAAAAATAAGCTTGTTCACTTAATTTGTCTGTCAGTCAGTGTGTTTTATAAGAGAAGAACACAAAATAAATAATTTTAAGCGCAAATGTTCTTTTTCATATCATACTGTATTTCAAAATATGTATCAAGGCAGAATGTATTTGAATTTTAAACATATGACATCTGGTAAAAGATCACAGCTGTTTCTCGAGATTTTGTGTGAGTTGGAGTTAGTTTTATAGAAAGTGCCATCATGAAGGAATCGCCAGTGTTTCCATAAAAGCTTGTTATTTTTCATCTTTTGAATGAAGGAGGGTATACCATGCAAAATGTTATGTTTCTATAATATATTGAAAATTCGAAAATAGGTTTTCCACATTTAGATTGAGTTTTATATCAATATGGGGATGTGATTCTCAGTCAAAATTCTTATAATCCAATGATATCCTTGGAAAAATGTTCAAGTTTACTTCAATTTTTGCCCATTTTTTAAACATGATAAAGATTTCTTGTGGCACTAAGTGAGTTGGAACAAAAATGGGGTTTTTCCTTAAGAACATAATGAAGGGAGATTTGTACAGTAATAAAGAAATTTGTTGCACTATATGCAAGGATGGCACTAGATCAGGGGCAACTAAATCAAGGGTTGACTGTAATATATTGTCCAAATATATTCCAAACCCTAAGATTGAAAAAATGAAAATAAAATGTGGAGTGTTTGAGAGAAATCTTTCAAATCAAAAGTCCTCAACCTTTGCTCCATAAGAATGGTACAAATAAGAGAGGTTCAATGAAATCTCAATTTCATGCTGAACATTTTTGGACCTATTTTAAAGTATGACGCGCGAATACTAGATACATACGTAATATTGCCGACTCGAAATGAGAGACAAAAAGACGAGAAACTTGAGCCTTGAGTTTATACAGTAATTTATTTCCAAGACGAGATGTCTTCAAGGGCATCATGAGGATAAACTCTGAATAGTATAGGGTAGTTTTAGTACAGCATTAACAAATTCAGCGGTTTATGAAGCTTCGTGAAACAAATTCATTTCAGAGAAAAGACTCCTGCTCAGACTACGACTGTAACCGTATGGAACAGATCATATATCGACTATCAGAGGCTATAAAACACTGTTCTTACTCAATCATTCGTAACCACAGAAAAATGAAAAACATACCCTTTAAAAAAACTTCGTGCACACATTTCACGCCCTTCGGAAAATCATAAAACCAGCAAAACGATCGTTCTGAGATATCGTAAAAAGAACTTTTCAAACGCCCAAGCTCTCTGGGCACCGATGACGAAAAACCTGTAGCTTGACTTTTGCTAAGGAGGCTACGTTAGAAGAGTCTTGTGCTTCTATCTTTTTCTTTCTTAGACCACAGACAAATACTGTACTTTTTCATTTAGTGCGTTCTTTTGAAAATTGGAAGAAAATGAGGTCGTGGAAAAAAAAACACCAGAGTCGAACGCACTCATTGGGGACTAGCCTCCATTTGATCAGATAGTAAATAGTACGTGCTGCCACTTGAACTCAGCAATTCATCACACTTTTATCGTCAAGGAGGAAAAAATGCTCAGCATTTCGATGTCCACATTTTGATTTCTCGTAGTGGAAAAAATTAGCTTTATCTTCCGGTTATTTCACTTTTAAAAATTACGAACGCAATTCCAGCGAAGTTCTTTTTTTTTTCTTACCTCGAGGCCGGTTCTCGAAATAATTACAATCAAATCTCGATTCACTACGGGAAAAGTCAGCTTTCTTCTTGAATTAACCCATATTTCTCGTTACGCATCCATGAACCAGTAACGAAGCCAGAACGCCGGTTATTATTGCACAGGACAATCCCTTATTTACTTTCAGCCATGGCGTGAAACGGTTGTCTTTCGTAATTGACAAGTGCTGGCATAGCTGAGATGACTTGAAACGCGCAGAACGGGAATAAAATGCATAATAAAATGGGGGAATAAAATATAACTAGAATGTGCGAGTCGGTGTCAGCAGTTGTTGGAGTCGTGGGACGACAGAGAAAGTGAGGTTTCCTCGTCAACCTTGGCACTCGATGGCGGCGTCGACACACGCGCGCGGTGAACCGCGATCCATGTCGTATTGTTCGGCGTGTCACTTGTGACCGAGACACGTCGTCTTCATTTCCCGTTGACATGCGCATGCGAAATTGACCTCAAAACACCTCACCTTCTCTCTACCTATCGAACAATTGTTGGAAAGGTGAATTCGTGAAGGCGAATGAGCCTGCTTGAGCTTGCGATTTGAAAGAAAAAACTTTCATTGACCGAAACGTTGCTCCAGTCGCAGAACAGAAATAAAATACAGCATAAAACGATTGGGATAAAATTTAAAGAGCAAAGTGTACATACTGCACTTAGAATCTGACTTGAACAATTCATTGGTTAGGGAAAGTTTTTTCTTTCAAGTCGAAAACAATTTTCCGCACATTTTTAGAGAAAATGACCCAGATGGCAATTCGTCGAGACCGAGAAAAATTTCTGGGTCTCGACAAACAAGACATTCATTCGGAGAATTCTGACCAATAAGAAACAAGGATAAGTATTTTATTTCAATAAATTTTGGTGAAACTTTTGCTCCATCCCTCTTATTCACGGAAAATCCAGCTTATTATTAGAGCTCTCATTTCAAAAACAGAAAGACATCTTAAAAAAAAAAAATCTAGGAAGAATAAGGTCACGCTCCAAAAAAAGTCAACTGCGAATTTAAAGCAAAATTTGGCGTGGATCTCCCGGATGCCAAAAATTGCAGAAATATTTTGGCTAATGTCGCTCCAGGAAGAATTTCCCACCCGCAGAGCGAATTTTTTCAGCCTCACGCTTTCGGCGGTTGAAAATTTGAGTTTTAATCCTGCCTCAGAACATGGTGTTACAAATACCTCATCGCTTCCTTTCCAATTTAGATTTTTTTCTATACAGTATTTCCTGAATACATTTTTTAAAGTGGCCCAGGAAAGTTGATGCGTGATTTTCTTTTGCTTTAAATATGAGGATTTGATGACATCTTCTATTTGATTGCGTCTTACATTTGCGTTTAAATTCCGTGGTTTCGTCTGATTAACACAACTGTATGGCCAATGATTGTCTGGCATTCAATTCAAGCTTTGCTGGATTTTGATTCATTTTATATTGTGGCCTTCTTTGAAGAGTTTCCGCAAATAGCTGAATAACACCTGGAAACGGGCACTATTCTAAAATAAAACTAAATGTATTTATGCACCATTGAGATTTTTTCAAAATTTTGAAAAGTGTATCATGAATTTCAATGTGATTCTTAGAAACCCAATTTTGCAGCCAAATCAGATCAAGCGGCATAATAATTATAGCCCCCCAAGTAAAATGCCTTCATAAATGGGGAATGAAATTTTCTTCAAAATGTACTTCGCTGCCAAATCCAATTATTGATTTACCTCTTGATTTCTTTCGAACAAAATTTCACTTTTGATTTTCAAAAACTTCCTGAAGCTCTTTTTTTCCTGAAGAAATTTGAGGCAGCCAAATTAAAAAAAAAAAAAAGTTGCGGAAACTGGAAAAACAACCAAATAATCAGCTTTTGCATATAATCTTCAGACAGCGGTTCCTTTATGAGATTTTTCATTACTGTTTCAACGGGATTTCCGCCAGGATACCTCTGGAAAAAAAAACACTTACGTTCATAACGGGATCCGCAGCGATGGAATTTAACCTGTAAACATAAGAAAATGTAGATTTTGCTCCCAGTAAACCCGATACCACCGTCGTTTCCGTCTTCTCCTCCTTCGCGAGAAGAAACTCATCAACTAGATTCGAGAAGAATGACTTTGACCCCCCGTCTGAGAAAATAATTCGTTAGCTCGCGAAGTAGCTGTCCCTCGTAAAAGTGAGGCCGGAAGAAAGTTTCGGCTGTTGTTATCTGCGGCTTGACACGGATTCCTGCGGGCGATCGGAATATCGGGCCAGACTGAATTGCCGCCTTGTCCCCGTTCTCGCCCTGATGATTCCTCGCCTCGTGTCCAGTCTCTTACTTTGCTTTTTATTTTGTCATTCCTTTTTCCATTCCAGAGGACAACCGAAGCACCAATAACTTGCCGATTCTTTCCCTTTTTTAATTGATGACTGAGGATTTGGTTTTTTTATTTTGCACGTGCGAACTTATTTCCAACATGATGTGATGTTGAACTGAGAACCGAACTCGGCGATGAAGAACAACTAACCGAAGCATTAACTTGCCGATTATTTGTCTTTTTTTATTACCTGAGGATTGGGATTTTTGCATTTGCTAACTTTTTTTTCTTGGTTGATGTGCTGTTGAACTGAGAAGCGAACTCAGCGTGATGAAGAAGAACCAAATCATCAACTTGCCAATTCCTTCCCTTTTTAATTAACGAAGGGTTTGGCTTTTTGCATGTGCCAACTTGTTTCCAAAATGATATACAGGATGTGCTGTTGAAATCAGAAAAGCAAACTGGGCGATGAAGAACAACCATCAACTTGCCAATTCCTTCCCTTTTTTATTTACACTGTATAGAAATATTTCATTTAGGAAATAAAAGCATTACTGCATTTGAAACTACAGTATTTTCTTATGGGTTGGTCCAGAAATCAAAGGACTTGAAAAATATTTGACTCGTGATATTATCTATTCTTTGCGTTTAATACATTTTCCGCTTTGATCAACTGAATGTATCCTTCGAAAAAAAGACCCTTCAGCATGAGGTCTCTATATGAATACAATTCTGCTCTAGAATTACTCATTACTCTTGAATATTACTCAGATTATTTCGAGTGGGAATTGGCAATGAACAAAGCACCATCATATTTTTTACAATTAATCGATCAAGAAGAAATTTCGAAACTGTGCAGCAACGCTTCAAGTAGCACAGATTACTTGAAGTAAATTTTTCAAGTTTTTGAGGGAAAACCTGAAGACAAACGTACCTCGTGCAGTGCGTAAGTATAAATTCTGTACTGGATGTAGAAATATCTTGGTTTATTTAAGGGATGAAAAAATGTATGCTCCTGATTTTATTCCAGAAGAAACAAAAATTGATTGGAGAAACAAAGAGGATGAGTTAAGCGCGTAATTTTGTCGTTGGCGATGAAAATTTCTTTCAAGTTGAATTCCTTCTGCTGACAAAATATTTATATATTTTTCCCGCCGAAAATAATTGTGGAATTACAAAAATTCGAGGTTGTGTAGAAAAGAGGATGTGTGTTCTCCTGCAGAAAAAAATTGCAATAATAGAAAGTTGAGGATGTGTACTCTGTCCATCCATGATTTTCAAGGATTATATACTGTATAAGACGAGATTTGATGGGAAACCTCTTCTATCTCATGACTTCCAGTAGTGACTACAAAGAAATACATTTTTTTCTTTGATGAAAGATAGTTCAAATAAGTTTCGAAACGCTCGAAGTGCTCTATGTGTTCAACTAAATTTCACATGGAACAAGCTGACAAGTGCATATCAGCCACTGCATATTATCCACAAATGAAGAAATAATATTTCCAATGATTCCAGCACAGAAACATGACGGGAAATTGATAATTTATTTAGCAAGCTTGCCAATCTTGATGATCCTTTGGTCGACATTCAACAGGACAAGAGGTATTCATTGGTCCATGTCCATTAGCCCCAACAAAATTGTTCCTGACTGTCAAGTTACGCTGTGACGGCCATGGATCTGAATCATGGAATATTTTGCACAAGTAGCTGTCATGAATCTTGCAAAACCTTTCTGCACACGAAAAAAAAAAAGATATTTGAGTCACCTGATTTATCACCAGGCTCTTCCAAAACTTACTGGCCAGTTCTGGAGTCTTGCAAACAGCTGGATATACAATACCTTCAAGGAGAGCTTGATCAAGTCCTTTACTGTTTCTAGAGGATGGATGTGCTTCAACATGCTTCAGCATCTTTTATTCTTGCTCTTCCCAGTTTACGTTTTTGGCCAATTCAGAGAGCTTATTTGTACCACACATGCCACCTGTGATGTACCCAAAAAAAAAGTATTTTTGTGCTCTTATGGTCCAAATAATTTTAAATGACTCCACCAAGGATCCAAACAAAGTGAAGGGGATTATCCCGCATTGAATGCAAAATTTTTACAGAACTCAGCCAATCATTGACAGCGTCCAATTCTCTTTGAGTGATGTCAGAGTCCAAGTCACGACTGAGAAATATGTCAGTTCTTGGGTCTGCCATGGGAATAAATCTCCAGATCATTGGGAACAAACCTGCAAAAAACAATTTAAGCATTTTGTTCTTCTTTTCATTTCTCAGTCTTTTTTCGATTCGGGTCATATCAAACAAATATCATTTCAACGTGATATTTTTTCTTAAAAAAAACAAGAATTTACCTACGCTGAAGCGATCGCCTTTACTAGATAATTTTGCAAGCGATGTAAATTTCAGTTTGTAAATGTTTTGCCGTTATCAGAAATAATTGGCATGCCTTTGGAACCAATCAATTGGAAAGAAAAAATAGGCAAAACATTCCAAGCTTTTTAAATTCTTTGCTGCCATGTTGAGGATTAATTGGACAGAATTTCTGCAAAAAGTTTGCTTTTCTTGCAATAACCTCCCGTGATTTTATGTTTGAGGTTCGACACTCCATTTAAATTTCCTTGAAATTTATGCTTACTTTGTTTTGTCATGTTATCATAATGTTAGTTTTGGTCTATATGCTCTTGAAACTGTTGACATTTTGTGGAAAATTCTGCATTTTTAGAAACGGAAAGTTTTGACTTAAATTAAAAAGAAAGTAGTAACTTGCTGGGTGAAGCATATGCATCGAGCGGTGCTTGAAGATGTTTGACGTTGCAAAAATCTATGTTTCCGAATTGGCAGCTAGCATTGCACATGACAGATTGGAATGTGGCGTCATTCGCTTCATAATCGTGGTAAACTCGAATCACCCAACCATCATCAGCTGGGTAAACTGTTTGCTCATTTTTGCCACTACTGGCAATCTCTGAAAGTCAAGAAGATGAAATTGGAATTGAAAATCTTGGTTTTCATTATATTTGACTCTTTTACCTGCAAATATGATGGGTTGCCGTATGCACTAAAGGAAATTACTTTTTGGTGGAATCCTCAATGAGAACTGATTCCTGATGGACACCAATCAAGAACCTTTTCCGTAGGTTCTTTTTCATCCATTTTCTTGCTCTTGAAGACGATTTGACGGGTGCATTCACATTCTTGCATTGAAATTTCTTGTGGTTTGACCTCTGATCTTCTGAAGTAAAAAAGTGCCAAGTGCATATCAATTGTGATGTTACCAATACTGTATGTATTCTAGCAGGAATGAAGGTGTAAGTAAATTCTTTGTCATAATTATGTACGGAATGTGAGATTTTTTTCAAAACCAGCCGCATTATGTCTCACAAAAAGGATGAAATTCCCAAGTTCAATTATGGGGAATGATTTCAATTCAAAATTATTAAATTCTTGCCCCACGTTGAAATAAACTCATTTATCAGGAATGTGTGATCCTTGAGGCATATGAACATTTGGTAATGATTTTCACTACCCTAATACCCCCTATCTCTTTTGTTTTATACAGTCTTTTAAACATGTCTTGTGTCCACTAGTACAATTTCTGACAAAAAGTTGAAATGTGAAGGTAATTTTAGTTAAATATTTTTTTTTCTGGAACAAATTAAATTTTTTATAATGTAACCTTAAGGGAAATAGGGTTTCAACTTACGACGACCCCATGTTACAATGTCCATCCTGGAACGGATTGATGACGTAAGATGGGAGCCCACTGTATGTATTCTAGCAGGAATGAAGGTGTAAGTAAATTCTTTGTCATAATTATGTACGGAATGTGAGATTTTTTTCAAAACCAGCCGCATTATGTCTCACAAAAAGGCTGAAATTCCCAAGTTCAATTATGGGGAATGATTTCAATTCAAAATTATTAAATTCTTGCCCCACGTTGAAATAAACTCATTTATCAGGAATGTGTGATCCTTGAGGCATATGAACATTTGGTAATGATATACAATTCTTAAACTTATTGTGAGAAAAATTTTCAAGGAAACAAAAGTTAACATGCTGCCATCTCCGTTTTCTACAAGTTTCAAATATAATTTAATTGAAGCTCATCACGTTTTTTACTGCCATCATATTTTTGGGGGCACGTTCCAATTTCCCTCAACAATTCTAAAATGTTTGTAGAAAATTGAAGTAGGTTTTGTTCACTAAATATACTGAGAGGTTCCCCTAGATCCTTTTGAAACAGTCTTCTAACAAAACGCATGAATCAATACAACAATCATACACAATCTGCATCCACGTTGGATGCATCAATATCCCCTTCTCGTCCAGCATCCCCAGCATCCCGTACGATATTAAAAATGTTACCTATGGAATAGAATATCATGAATATGAATGCATGACACTGCTTGCAATCAAAATTTAAAAAGCTTTGAACTGCTCTCACTGTAGAAAACGCCAAAAATATCTTCAAGATTTTAAAATTCCGCATTTTTTTGCAGCAGGATGAACGAAACTTCTTGGAACTCCAACCTGAGTTATACATTTCAGCGGTTATGTGCAAGAAAGCACTGATGCATAAAATTTGTGCTTACGAACGACGAAAGAAGAAAATTCAAACTCAGTTGTGAAGAGTAAAAAAAAGTTTTTGTGACACGGTGTTTCTGTAGAGCTACGAGCTCACAAAGAATTCAGATAAATTAACGAATGAATAAATGAATAAAAATCCCCATCCGCTGGGGAACATGGCAGGAAGATTCTCGGCAGAATTTTCAAAGATAAGAGGAAATTACATTTCGAATTTAGGAAATATTCCATGAGAACAACAGTGTGATAAGAGGAAAAATAAGGAACAAAAATTGGGAGTTCAAAGCAAAAAACACACAACAAAAATTCTCAAGCAAGACCAAACCACAAGAGTTTTGTTGTTGTGTGTCATGCCAAACAGAAAGTACTGCGGTAACGTTGAACAGTACTGTCAACAAGGCAAATGTCAGAGATTTCATGCCCTCATTTAGCACTGTGCTCTTCAGCCTAGCAGCTTTTCCAAGCAAGATTTTTATTGTAGCATAGTTCAACTTTAACAAAGTGGAAAAACTTTGATTGTGACATGATTAAGCCAGGTGAAATTGTTCTGCACCTTGTCAGAAATCAGGTCAAGGGGCTAATCTGGCCAGTATAAAAACCTCGGTGTATCAGGCACAAAGAGGACTCAGTATGTATAAACAGTACATGATTTATTATTTGCATTGCTGACGTATAATGCCATTTTATAACCTCAAGCTGGAAACAATTCTGTCTCTGTATAGCCAAGGGCTTGCTTGGATTATGAAAATTAAAAAAAAATGTTCAACCATAAGACAGATTTTAAAGAGATACCAGATGAAAAAAATTAGGGTTTTTTCAGTTCCTTTGCTTCCACATTGAGCAATGACAGCTTTTGCGATGGATTCATTCGGGAGGATAAAGAATGTAAGCTTCTAGATTTTTTATACCATCGTTAACACCACTGAATCCGCTGGATAACCTGTCTGACCTCTTTGATGGATTGCGGACTACAGTACTTGGTCCAGTACTTCATCCGCGGATAATGTCCGAAGATGAAGGAAAAATTCGCATCTCACGGCTAAACGGGCCAGGGCCTTCTCGCAATGACTGCATACTTTGCGTCTCCATCAAGAAGCAACTTCATTAAAATTACTGAAGTTTCTGACGCCAAACCAAACTGATCCTAGATCCATCGTCATAAAATGCAATTGTACTTGGCCCAAATTTGCGGAAAGCCTTTGATCTTGCCTTTCATGAATCACACAAGATGATAATATTAGTTGTGAACTATCTTCCTAATTTTTGCCAGCATTCCTCGATTCCAGGTAAAATCAGTTTTAATTTCACACTGGCATTTTTTTTCCAGAGTCTGAATCGAGAAAAATTTTTATTTTTTGTGGCGAAAACAGGTTTTTTGGTTATTTGCCACATCCGCGGGATTTTTGTGACTGCATTTCTGCTTCAAGTCCAACTGTGGTAAAGTTGTGGTGAAGTCCTTTGAAATGTCCAATATGTACCTATAGGTGACATATACATGTCCCACAAACATTTTTCATCTGCAGTAGTTATCTCAAAAATGGTGGTGTAACCCACTTTTTCGAGACTCGAATTTAGCTGAGCTGGTTATTGATTTAAAACTGATTGGTATGTTCCAGTCTTCTGTAATCTTTAAAACAAGCGAGCAAGACTAGTTCAATGTGAACCAATTTAGAGAAAGTTTCTAAACCGTAGCTCGAAGAAATAACCTTAAATTCGCATTAAAAAGAAAAAATACCCATAAGCGCACTAAATTTTTCAGAAATAACGCTGGGAGGGCGGTCCCAAAAAAATAAGTTCTTTGATTAAAAAAAAAAGCCAGCTTTTCCAAGCCTTACTGAAGAGAAATAATTTATTCAATTTTTACGCATTCCGTCAAAAGAAAAGACGCGATATTAAAATCGTGGGACTGAAGCTCAATCACGATTTCTTTCGCGGATATATGTAGGAAGGAATGAGTGGAAAAAAGCGCTTTTCGGGTTTCGGGTTCCTGGCGTTTCGGGATGGTTTTTTGAGGTGTTTATTTTTGTGCTCGGAATACTCCGTCATCCGCGCGACTGGGTTCCTGCGCATCAATCAATCGGCTCGCCTGAATCAATGTCACTGACGTTGGCTGTGGCGGACACAGCCAAGCCCTTTCTCGTCGTCAAAACTTTGATCGATCCAGTCGCTGACGAGGCTTGTTTGTTGCGTTTTTCCATAACAACTTCGTGAAATACGAATAATAATAAAAAACAGGCATCGGTTCTATGAATCCGTCATCCGGCCCAGTCGTGGGTGGAATTCCTTCTTCTTCTGGTCAACTCTTATCGGGTAGATTCGAAGATAAATATCCTTGAGGGAAAAAGGAGGAACCGAGACAAGTATGTACGATCAGATCACGTGGATGTGATTATTGGACAAGTGGCATGAGAAGAAGGAAAAACAAGGAATGGCCAGAATGGATTTAACCTCTTCGGGTGAATAGGAACGAAGAAAAAGTGGTGTTTTTTCGCTTTATGTATAATCTCCATCACTACTTCGACATTATGTTCCAAAAATACCCCCAATACCAAGAAAAGGAGAAGACAAGAATTAATCTATATACAGTATTATTTTTCTACTCATCATCTGTGGTTTTACAATATCACCCATTAATTTTATTCGTACAAAACATTCCCATCTCAAAACTTCAAAACGAATAATTCCGATTATAATTCACGAAACATATTTCCTGAAAATAAGGCCTACNACTCATCATCTGTGGTTTTACAATATCACCCATTAATTTTATTCGTACAAAACATTCCCATCTCAAAAGTTCAAAACGAATAATTCCGATTATAATTCACGAAACATATTTCCTGAAAATAAGGCCTACACTACTAAAAAAAAAACTCGTCAATTTTGATTTAAAAATATAAAGGCACACTCAGTTTAAAATTTACCGCAATTATCTACAGCGATATTTTCCTGATTCTATATTAAATCTGCAATCGGGTTAATCGCTATTTTCTACAAAAACACGCAGGAAGTGCCAGAACACACCTCAGCAAATATTGAAAAATTAAGTGAAAATTTTAAAAATGTTGCCACTATTTGAGCTAGTCTCGTGTTAACCCCATATTTGTGCTCTTTTTCGTCTCTTAAATATTTTTGCAGGGCATCCACGTGTAAAACCGGTTTTATTTTTGGGTATACACTATTACAGGGGATTAATTTAATAATTAACCTGGAGCATGGTTCCTTTATTGAATATACTTGCTTCTAGATATTTATTCTAGGTAATCAATTTTTTTTTATTCGTGACGAGAGCTCTTCATTAATGTGATCTCCGAGACAAGTCGCTCACATAGAGAATATTGAAGAAAGCTTGAACATATGTCGTGTGATTATCACCTTTCTGTAATGATTAGAAGCTCACCTGACGCAAGACTTCGGATCAATCATCCCGACATAATAAGTTCTCCTGTCAGTTGGTGAAAAGGCAACTTTCCCCGGATGATGAACAAAAGTTCTACATACTTCATCAGTTAAAAAAAAAAAAAACGTTTGCATAAGCAGGTCCTTTAAATTTCACAGCTGCCTCTAATTCTAAAACCTGAATGGAACGAGAAAAAATAATCAAAACAGAAACCAAACCAAAAAGTCAATATGAGTGCTTTCATTTTTTGGAGATCTTTTTCACTAAACATTTTTTCAGGTCGTCCTTGCGAATAGTTCAACTTTTAAAATTGTTTAGTATTACGTGAACGTATTAAAGCAACTCAAAACAGCCGCTGAGGATGTTGGAATAATTTGTGAACGTAAACAAATTAAATCGGCTACCATCAAACTAAAAACTTGAACTTGAGGAACTGCGGAAAAAATATCTACAACACAAAAATTCTGCAATTCAAAATTTTACGAAAGAATGAAGTCTGGCTCTTCTTCGAGGATTCCGCAGAAAAACACCAACCTTTTTTGTTTTTCTAATTGTGTCAAAACTCTGACGGATTCAGCTCGGCTTCGAACTGATCCATTGAGTCAAAATAATGGATTCAGGAAGATTAAAGTTGTCATTTCCCGTTCTCGTTCGAATTATTTCGTGAATAAACCCCTGGATTCCTTTCTCTGCATAACCTCAAACCAAAAAATATTTCATAATGAAATCGCCATATTTCATAATGAAAAACACGAACGTTTTTGTTTTTTTTAATTGTACCAAAATTCTGATGGATTCAGCTCAGCGTCGAACTGATGCATTGAGTCAAAGTGAATTCAGGGGAATTAAATTCACGTTGTCATTTCGCGTTGTCGTTCGAACTATTTCGTGAATAAACCCCTGGATTCCTTTCTCTGCATAAAGTCTCACCTCAGACCCAAAAAATAAAAATAAAAATCATGATGAATCCCCGGGAAAACGAGGCATCTGGATTATTCCTCGCGAACGAGCAAGTCGTGCAAATCGGATTCGTCTCGGCATGTTACAAACTCAGCAGTTAAAAATCCCCGCAAGCTTCCGACGATGGTCGCCGTTGGATTTGCTGATGTGCATGGTCCACATTTGTCAGAACGAAACGTGTTGCCTCGCCTCGACCACATGCTGGACGTCAGTCAGTCGCTTTCTTGTCACGACCGACGATGCAGGATTTAGCAAGAGGAGAAATAAAAAAATCCTATCCGAGAAAATATGTTTTTAAAAAATAGTTTTTGGATGGAAGCATGTTTTGTCGACGTATTGTACGCTGCATTGGAAAAGAAATGATTCTGAAGATGTTATCCACACCATTTCCTTCCCTCAACGCCCATCGAGAGCCACCCGTGTGGAACCAGCAGAGACCCTCGATTCGCTTCTCATCCAGGTGCGCTGGGACGACGATGACCAACGAGGGTGGGACAAACGTCTTATTAAATATGTTTTCTTCAAAAACTGGCTCACGAAAAGCTGACAGGACCGAAATTGTCCAATTATACGAAACGGGAAGGCATGGCGAAATTTCATGATCTCTCCGATGTGAATGGCTCAACAGGTTTGAGACCATTGCACAGTTGGACCTCGAACCATTTCAGTCGAAAACATCCCTATGTCAATTTACGAATATACCCCTTCCTCAATTATTTTCGGGACAATATAGCACGGAGTCCATATACCTCTCTAACTGCAAAGAATTCCTCCCTCAAAAACTCTATAACTCAAATTCCCAAAGGTCTTCAGGCTATTATTCTGGTGATCCATGAAGCACAGGAGCAATAAAAATGTAAGTTGTTGCTTTCTACACAAAACAAGTGAATAATTGTACAAGTGTGCCCTTGCCTCCCGATTCAACTTCCTGTCAACTCATTTACCCAACAGTTTGAGGATAAAACAATCACTTATTTTACCTTCCTGTCAGTGTTCTTAATTTTTCCCGAACAAAAATTCTGGCTAAAAAACTTTCAAAGCAGAGTTTTTTTTAGCTCCCCTTGGGTTTGACTCAAAGATATTTGATCATATAAAGTATTTGAAACAAAGTATTAGCCAAGACAGCTTGAAAAATAAATCAGTAAGAGCACTCAAAGTGTGTCTACCCTTGTCCATTTTTGTAGGACATAATATGAAGGGGTGTAACCAAATGCCTTAGATCAGTGTTCCCCTACCTTTTTGGGCCTGCAGACTGGCAAATGGTGGAATGTCTTCAAAAATTAGAAAGGTGGGCTTGAAAAAAATAATTTCTCAGATTGAAAAATTAAAAGAATTTATTTCATCAGGTGAAAATTTTTCTCATGTATTATTAGGAGAAAAGCCAATTTTTATTTTTCATGAGATAAAATTAACTCCAATTGTGTAGCAAAAATGTCAGATAAAGATACTATAACAGCCTTCATTGGTAGTTTTGATTAATTCATCGTGCTTGAGAAATTTTCCCGCAGAACAGCAAAAACCTTCCGTGGACTGGCACCCGTCCGCAAACCACGGGTTGGGAAACACTGCCTTAGATTGATCTTGCAAAAGTATAACTAAAATTGGCAGATATTGCATCAAACAGTGGCAATGCTGTGCGACTGCATTTGATGGAAGTAAAAAGTGACGAAAGCTTTTCAGCAGAGAAAAAAGTGTATTTATTCTAATTTTAAAAATATTTGACCATCCC